AGCGCGCCGGCGGGCGTGGCATCCATGCGCGTGGGCTTCCCGTGGGGGGAGCAGGAAGCGGGAGGCCTAGGGCAGGCGCAGGGAGGTCCCCGAGGGCTGGGCCTGTCCTGCCAAGAAGGTGCCACAGCCACCTTCGGAACTCAAGGACAGGGTCAACCCACGGGCCGGGCCTGGGCAGCCGCAGCCCATGTGGGCTTCTGGGCCTAGACGGTGCTGGGACCAGTCCTGTTCTCCTGCACGGCCCGGCCTCCAGGGCACGGGGCGCCTGGGGCCAGTGCTGCTGCACCGCCTGCTCCCCAGGCCAGTGGCCGTGCACGGGACTGGGGTCTCCCGCGGGACGCAGGCAGGGGCTGGCCAGGCGTGGCCGTGCTGTGCGTGGGTTTGTGCGGGGAGTTCCCTCAGCAGGGCCAGCGCAGTTCTCCTGGTCGGGGGATGGTGCTGCCTGCCCGGGGTGCTACGGCTCCCCACCCCCTGGCCTCTGAGCCCAGGCTGCACAGGGGGTGTCAGCCGGCAAGCGAGGTCGCCCCTCGGCGGCTAGGTCCCAAGGGCCTCGGTTCTGAGAAGCACGTGCAGTCCGGGCGCGGCCGCCTCCCCCAACAGCCGTGCCAGGAAGTAAGAGCCAGGGCACCTTGAAGCGGCCCGCCTGTGCCCACGGCCCTGGATGGACACTGCCCGGTGCCAGCCTCCGCTAACAAGGCAGCTGCTCTGCAGATCGGTCCTGCCCCCAGCGTGGCCTCAGTGGCCAGCTCAGCCCTGCCCCCATCTCCCACAGGCAAGGGCCCCACGCAGCCCTGGTACTGGGCAAAAGCCCGTCCTCCCAGCTGCAGACCCAAAGCCGAGCTGGCAAGCTGGTCAGCCCAGCCGGGAGCCCACTCAGCCCCTGGACAGGGCAAATGGAGGGTGGGGGATGGTCGAGGTGCAGGTCGCATCTCCACGGTGAGGGTGTCAGGAGAGGCTTGGCCGTGAGCGGGCGAGTGTCTCCGGGCCTCACGGGAGTGCCCTTGCTAACCCCAGTGATCCCTGATC